GAAGCCTTTTATCTTTTTGTCTTGCTGTGATTAAGGTGATTAAGTGTCGTAATGAGATCATGCACTCTTCAGAAATGAAAGTGTCTTCTACGTGGCTTCGAGATTTTCAGATGAAGATCCAAAATTTTCTGAATGAATTCAAGAGTATCCCAGAGATTGTGGCGGCATACTCCAGAATAGAACAGGTAAAAATCATATTTAACAATTCTGAGATACAGAACTAAGGGGGAAAATCGACCACAGTCACTCATTTAGATTTTGCAGTTTATTAGATTTAAACTAAATTTTAGAATGTAAGCAGGGGAAAGAATGCTGATAGAAATCTGGAATTATGCCAGGCCAATAAGCTTTTCTGTGGCCACAGTGTGTTATTAAAATGGATCTAGTTAATGTTGTTTAATTATAAATTCTTTGAGTAATCCAATGGAATGTCTTTTCTATGAAATTGGTTCATATAAATATATCCCCAGCTGTTGACATCTGACTGGGCTGTTCACATCCCCGAGGAAGACCAGCGGGATGGGTATGAACGTGAAACAGGAACCTACCTGAGTGAGAGCCAAATCAATGAAATAGAAATGCAGTTACTAAAGGAAAAACTTCAAGAGCTGTATCTTCAAGCAGAAGAACAAGAGGTGTTGCCCGAAGAGGTAAAAGAAAAGAAAAACATTACATCCTCTGTGTGAATAAACATCACAAAGGAAGGCACCAGGGAGGAAGAGTAGCTCATTTTAACATATGGAAACTGTGTTTCGTAGCTGAGACTACAGGCATGTGCCACCATGCCCGTTTTATTTTTTTTTTTTTTTTTGTAGAGATAGGGTCTCACTATGTTGCCCAGGCTGATCTTGAACTCCTGCCCTCAATTGATCCTCCCACTCTGGCCTCCCGGAGTGCTGGGATTACAGGTGTGAGCTACCACACCCCGCCAGTTTTCCTTATTTAAAAAAATACAGAATAATTCACCATTCTGCCTGTTGCATGCCAGCATTTGAGTTCTGCCCTTCTAGATCTCATTGACTAAACAGTTGGAGGACCAAATTATATAGAACTGAAGAAAATGTGAACACTAATGGATAACAATGTCAGAATAGGTTGCTATGCTTGTCACATTTCCTCTGGGAAATTTAGATTTTTTCTAGTTCACCAGAGAACAGCTTGTACACATTTATTACTCTGAGAATCATTGAGAGTATCCAGGTATGGATAGCTATACCTGGATTATTTATAGTATGTAGAGAAAATGCATGTGTATTTTGTCAACTAGAAGAATTAAGAGTCCTTTATGACAGCAGCAAAGACAACCATCACAGTAGTTGACCCCTTTGATATCTTTTAACCAAGAATGTGAAAGACTTTATGTGAATTATATATTAACATATGATTAGATAACACCATTTTTGTTAAGATAAAGGCAAAAATTGATTTTCTTTTCATCATGGTTTCCACATCAGAAAACTCCCTTGACCCAACTTCTTCACACTCCAGCAATATTTAAAACATTTTTATCTCATCTGCTTCAGCCTGTGGGTATACCCAGAGCCAATATGCTTGCTCTTTGGCAGGTTGTTTTAAGTTAAGGGACTTGGGGAAATGTGTAATATCTAGCCAGCCAAAAGATTTCGAGGGCTAAGGATGGTTGCAGGCTTATTTTTCTTACTTTGAGTAGTTTATTATTTAAATGGTAAGGGGCTGAACATCCCCCGAAGCCTTGACGGCATCTCCAGACACCTACAGGTCATGTCAAGAACTTCTGGATTGCTTAGAAATCTGCTCCGGAGGCTCCAGAACGGGGAAAAGGCTGAACCACTGTTGCCCAGGAGCCATCTTTTTGTTCTTGGGAGTCTTGTGGCCAAAATCTGGTTTACAGTTATGTTTTATTTGTCCTGCTTGGTTTTTTCTTTTTTTTTTTGAGACAGAGTCTCACTCTCTTGCCTGGGGTGAGTGCAGTGGCGTCATCCTAGCTCACAGCAACCTCAAACTCCTGGGCTCAAGAGCCTCCCCAGTAGCTGGGAATACAGGCACGTGCCACCATGCCCAGCTAATTTTTTCTATATATATTTTTAGCTGTCCAATTAATTTCTTTCTATTTTTGGTAGAGACGGGGTCTCGCTCTTGCTCAGGCTGGTCTCGAACTCCTGAGCTCAGAACTATCCGCCCGCCTCGGCCTCCCAGAGAGCTAGGATTACAGGCGTGAGCCACCACGCCCGGCCCGGTTTTTTCTTTTAATGTCAAATTAGTTGTGATAAAAATACGAATTTCCAGGTTTTCTTAAAAAAAATCCGAAGATCTGGCAACACTAGGCTCATATAACTCCCATAGCAACAAGCCACAAGTTCAGCTCACGCTACCCCTTTTGATGGGGCATCCATGCTCCAGTTTGTCCCAAACCCATCTCTCCTTTCTCCCTACTATTGCACCTGGCCAGCTTCACTCAGGTTACCTGCCTGACCCTTGAAGGCATTTCAGTTTGCGATGCAAGGAGGACTCTACTTCCTGGTGTCTGCCAGGATGAAATTAAACATGGATCTGACGTGGGGGGCTGGAGGGCTAGAGTATCCTCTACCCCATACAAATACATACCAGATTATGCACATGATCCCAAGAAAGTTCCAGCCCTTCTCATCTAAAGACCACACTGATTGATTTTGTCATTAACAAAGCCTTTCCGCGATTTTCTTTTGGAGCCACAAAATCTGCTTTACCCCATTGTTTGGCTTCGAAGCCTTTTATCTTTTTGTCTTGCTGTGATTAAGGTGATTAAGTGTCGTAATGAGATCATGCACTCTTCAGAAATGAAAGTGTCTTCTACGTGGCTTCGAGATTTTCAGATGAAGATCCAAAATTTTCTGAATGAATTCAAGAGTATCCCAGAGATTGTGGCGGCATACTCCAGAATAGAACAGGTAAAAATCATATTTAACAATTCTGAGATACAGAACTAAGGGGGAAAATCGACCACAGTCACTCATTTAGATTTTGCAGTTTATTAGATTTAAACTAAATTTTAGAATGTAAGCAGGGGAAAGAATGCTGATAGAAATCTGGAATTATGCCAGGCCAATAAGCTTTTCTGTGGCCACAGTGTGTTATTAAAATGGATCTAGTTAATGTTGTTTAATTATAAATTCTTTGAGTAATCCAATGGAATGTCTTTTCTATGAAATTGGTTCATATAAATATATCCCCAGCTGTTGACATCTGACTGGGCTGTTCACATCCCCGAGGAAGACCAGCGGGATGGGTATGAACGTGAAACAGGAACCTACCTGAGTGAGAGCCAAATCAATGAAATAGAAATGCAGTTACTAAAGGAAAAACTTCAAGAGCTGTATCTTCAAGCAGAAGAACAAGAGGTGTTGCCCGAAGAGGTAAAAGAAAAGAAAAACATTACATCCTCTGTGTGAATAAACATCACAAAGGAAGGCGCCAGGGAGGAAGAGTAGCTCATTTTAACATACGGAAACTGTGTTTCTGATTTACAAGTCAATTTCCAGAAGTGAATATTCTTTTGGCATAGATTAATGTTCAAGTATTTTCACTTACTCAGCAAACATTTGAGTGCCTAAACTGTGCCATAAAGTAGAAAAACATGGTAAAGGCTCAACAGAATTCTGCAAAAAAAAAATGCTTTGGGGTTCTCCACTGGCAGAGGGGATTGCCAAAAAAGGCTTTGCTGAGGTGCTGTTGAGCTGACACTCATAGAATCAAATTGCTAGTTTGACAATTGAAAAAGGCCATTCTTGGCAGAGGGCACAGCACTTGCAAAGGCATGAAAGAATAGTCCGAGCCTGGGCAATGACAGGCGAGCAAAGGAGGTATGGTCAGGCGTGAGGGTGGCAAAGTAGGCTGAAGCCGTATGTTGAAAGGTTGTCTGTGCCAAGGGCTTTGAGCCTTATTCCCAAAAAGCAATTGGGGGCCAACAGATGTTTCTAAGCAAAAAACAGTGGTAGGATCAGATATGGCTCTTAGAAAGTTAGCTCTTGCGGCAGTTGGAGGTTGGACAAGTGGCTAGCGACTAGCCATGAGGCTTTTGCAGTCATGTGAGGGTGAGAGAGAGAACAGAAACTAGAGGATGTGGAAGAGGAGCTGGATTCTGAGGCATTGCCTGGGCAGACCTGATGGATCCTAGTGGCTGGTTAGATTACTTGGAGCATGGCATGGGGCTGTGAAAGGATGGAGAAGCGGTGGAGGTTTAAAGGTTCGTCAAGGTTTCTAGCTTAGGACCTTTAGGCTAATGATGGTCTAAAGTCCTGATAGGGAATACAGGAAGAGTGAATCTCTTTAGTTACGTGCAAGGTATAAAAGGAACTAACTGTAGTAGAATTGTATTTTGGCAAGGTTCAGAAATATTCCAGCACTGGCTGGATTAGAATTCTAGATCACCAGGAAACCTTGGACAAATCATTTCACCTCTCCATTCCTCCTTGTCCAAGGAAAGTAGTTTTGCTCATTACCTCATGAAACGTAGGGGGAGTGTTTATTGAATACAAAGTGTGTATTTCATTCATTAAGCTATGCTCCTTACTAGTAAATATGCCTATATTGACTCTTCTGACTTTGATCCAAATGCTTTATTAAGCTTGGTGAGCTCCTTTAGCACAAGGGCTGGGTGCCACTGCTTTTTGGGTATGCCTGGCCTGGCACACCATAGGTATTTAAAATGATGAATTTGAATGTTAAATCTTTTTTTTTTTTTTTGAGACAGTCTTGTTCTCTCTCCCTGGGTAGAGTGCACTGGTATCATCGTAGCTCACTGCAACCTCCAACTCCTGGGCTCAAGCAATCCTCCTGCCTCAGCCTCCCAAATAGCTGGGACTACAGGCGTGTGCCACCGCACCTGGCTGATTTTTTCTATATTTAGTAGAGATGGGGTCTTGCTCTTGCTCAGGCTAGTCTCGAACTCCCGAGCAAGATTCTTCGACCTCGGCCTCCCAGAGTGCTAGGATTACAGTTGTGAGCCACTGTGCCCAGCTCTGAATGTTAAATCTTTTCTAAGTCCATGTGTTTCAATCTGGCTTTATTTTAAAATGCCATTAGAACGAGCCTCACAGTTTTTTTTGCACTGCTGCTTTCAGAAGCACAGTAGAGCAAGAGAAGACATCCGGGAAGACCAGGCTCACTGCCCCTAAATAGTCAGTAGGTCTCGCTGCTCTCTTCAGGGAGCTGTAGTTCTTTTCCTATTTGTGTAACAAAGAGCAAAGTATATCAGTAGCAACACACTTGAGCCAGGAGTCTATGTCATTTGAGAGCTGGACAGGAACCTGGCAATCATCATATCATATCCCCTGCTTTGCAAGTGAGGCAAGGGCCCCAAGCAGCTGGCACTGGGGTGTGAGGTCTCTCCCTTTTGGTCCAGTCGCTTTCCACTTGCCGTGCTGCAGATCTTGTATCACTGAGGAACTGGCAAATGTAAATTTCGAACCCTCATTATCTCTGTTTTACAGAGAGGAAATAGGGGTTAATTGGCTTGTCCTCTGGGTCACAAAGTCTCTAGGTAGAGTTAATAAATTCTCATTTTTCATGCTTTTGTTCAGCAGACCATGGCATTTCTCTTAATATTTCAATTGATCAAAGTGTGAGGATTGATTGGCATGTTATCTCAAAGAAGTTGAAGGTCAGCTTTCCACATGTATGGAACTTGACCTCTTCTGAAAGTTCAGTATCATATATGATTATCCATGTTCTTTAGGGTTAGTCTCCAAAGTCAGAAGATTCC